TAGTCCCTTTGCACCTGCTTCACATACTCAATGCTTTCTCTGTTTTCTCCATCAAGCAATTCTCCCCTCTTTTTCTGTTCTTCCACTCCACCATCTGCTTTTTCCTGGGTGGTGCTTAGCATTTCTCTAACTATTCTGCATACTTCTAGCTTCAGGTCATTGATAACTTCATTCCTGAATTGGTCTATGAGGCTCTCTAAATGGCGCTTAATGTATATTGGTACAGTGTCCACTATTGCCTGATTCTCAGGATTGGGGGCCGAGGAGCCTTTTTTGTTGCTTCCCTTCCCCATATTTTCTGTTCCTTATAAAATGTAATCTTACACAGGAGGCCCGGCTTCCCTGCCTGTCAGCCACAGCTTGATCAAATTGCGCTGGCTAGTTGTTCCCGCCCACCGCTGCGCCCCAGGGAGTTGCGGAGGAGGCAGCCTACGCGGAAGTCGGTCGCTCCTCCGGGCCACCGTCAGGCTCTGGGATCTGGGCTAGGCCAGCCTAGGGAGTCCGCGAGCAGCGTCCCTCCGGCCAGGCACCTTTCACCAATCCCGTCCGAGAGGGAAATGCGCGGCTGCAGTTGCCACCGCGCCCTGCTCTTACAGGACTGCCCGCGCCCAGAAAATCCTCCGCTGGAGTCAGACTGCGGTAGGGAGTCAGTTCCTCGCTCACCTCGCCACTAGTCAGCCTTCCTTCCTGCCCGTCGCGTTTCCGAGACCGTTCCCAGACGCCCGTTCCCAGAGCTCGGGGGTCGCATCTCTCCTTGCTGAGCCGCTGTGGAGGTAGCCGGCCGCCGCGCGGCGGGAAATCCAAGCCACGGTTTCCAATGGCGCGGAGTCGAGCCTCCACACCGAGATTTTTCTGTTCCTATTTTAGTGCCAGGACTGTATTCCAAGTTGTATTCTCTCAGCCCAGTTCGTTCCTGAGTCAGCAGAGCATATCTCTACTGGTTCGTATCTCCTTAGTCCGCATCATTCCTGGCCTCTGAGCCGAGCCTTTAGAGAGCGTTCAGTAGTTGCTGTTGTCTGTCCGCCATGTTCTCCAGAGTCCATCTCCATCAGTTTTATCATGTTGTATGTTATTGGATTTTATTATATGTGATGGTATAAACCAAATTTTTTACACACAAGGAGATAATATAGGAGATAATATAGATAATATATTCTGTTAGTTGGTTCTGAATACCCTGTAATACTTTCATTCTCTTGAATGGTTTTATACTGTTTTGTTATTTGATAGTATAGTGTATGAAGGTATACTCAAATATTTTAAGGAAAGAGACACTATTTTAGCTAATGTTATGTCAGGTTGTCTTATGGTGAAACAGTATGTTGCTTAAGTTGTTCTGTTCTGACCTGTTTTCTTATGTCCTCTTTTATTTTAATATTTTTTAAAATAAAAATAATGATGACATCACCTACGTTTTGTAAACATTTTTGGGTTTTAGCTTTGTAATAAATACATAATATTTATAGGACACTGCATATGTTCCAAGCTTATCTTTCTGCATTTGAAATGTCCTCCTCTATAGTTATAGTGCATTAGAGATGTCCCAATAGGTGGGAAGTTACGAATTTTGTAGCAAGTCCACTGACAAAATAATCTTGTAATTTATGCACTCCTGGAGTTTATATATTTGCCGGCCAATGTAGTCCATAAATTTATTTTCCTTCAGGCCCATATTTTCGGAAAGAATCTTTTCCAATTAGGAGCAAATAAGCTCTCTTTTATTCTAATATTTAAATTTAAAAATTATCAATTTTCCACAATATTAAATAAAATCAAGTTGTGCAACAAGCAACCAACAGACAATGCTAAGATTTATGTCCACAACTGTACTCTGTCCCCTTATGACACATTTCCAGATTCAAAAATAAATATTCAGGAGATGCCAAGTGTCCTGAATGTCCAATACACTTTTTTTAAGTACAACATTGAAGTGAACATTAAAATGAAGAGGAACCGTTCAACAAGAGGTCATTAGCAAGGGTTCGGATTTGGGGTGCTGAATAAAAACTCATCTCTTCAGTCATAGATCTGATGAGTAATAGTATTTCCTAAGGTGACAGTTTTAGAATATAAATATTTTTTAGAGATCAAGTGAATTTGTTCTGAGTACTTCTAGTATGTCCTTAAAAGCTACAATGGATTAAATGATTACAATGCAGAAGCATATATTAGAAGGTTAACATGGATTTGGACAAATTTAAAGTAACACGATGGTGCACATCCGTAATCCCAGAATTTGGGAGGCTGAGGCAGGGAGACTACCAAGAGTTTGAGGCCAGCCTGGCAAATAAACAAGTTCAAAGTCAGCCTGCACTATACGGCACGACCTTGTCACAAAAAAGAAAATGCATTTGCCTCACAACTGTCTTTAACAAAGTACCATGTCCATGAAAGTTATTTGTTTGAAATAAATATTTTCATGTAACCTATATAAACGAATCATCTTTGAGTTTCTCAATCAGTTTTAAGATTACAAAGAAATCCTGAGATGGAAAAATTTAAGAACTACCATTCTAGGGAGTGAAAACCTGGGTAATAATTTAAGAAAACATGGTTTTTTAAAATTTGAATTACTGATTCTCAAAAAGGTGCAAAAACGATGGGGCCAAGGATACAGCACAGTGGCACAAGTGCCTGCCTGGCAAGAGCAAAAGCAAGGTTGTGAGTTTGCTCTCCAGTATTTAATAAACACACACACACACACACACACACACACACACACACACACACACATACACGTGCGGCACGTGTGCATACTGACCTCAGCATGATTCTTTTTCCTTCCTTAAGAGCTTTTACCTTTTCAATCCTTCCTTTAAGGAAGAATTTAATAGTTTGACTTTGGCATGTCCAAGTTGCTTACATCACTAGTCTTATGCGTAGGAGCCATTATTAAGTAAAATTAGGGTTATCTGAATATAACCACTGTGATTCTGAGATAGTCTTTCTTAGTTTTCTCACTGCTGAGACACAGTACCTGACACCTGCAAGTTAAAGCTCATAGTTTGGCTCATAGATTATAGAGGTTTCAGTTTATAGCTGGCTGGCTCCCAGGCAGGGAGGCACGGCAGAATGGGATCCAAGAGGAGAAACAGTCCATGGTAAGAGTAGGCAGGAGGGGCAAAGAAACAGCAGCAAGCCTGCCTTTTTTCTGTCTCTTTATGTTCCATCCAGGCTCCAAACCTATTGGTTGGTACCACCCACACCCAGGATGGGGCTTCCATTATCCACAGCTTTAATCCACATTCACAACCCTAATCCAGCCACCATCAAAACTCCTCACCTATCAGAACATAAGACTTTAGGAGAACATCTGGACAGAAACGATAACATAGCCTATCTAATAATTTCTGGTAATTGCGGGTGACCAACGGATGGGTAGAGGGTACATTGTGGCTATGCTGGACACATACACCTATTGAATGGGAAAAATCTTTTGTGAGCTACTCCTCTGATAGGAGAGTAACACCTAGAATTTACAAAGAACTGAAAAAAATTGGATTCCTAGGATAAAAGATCCTTTCAAAATATGGTTGGCTGAAAAGAACAGATACTTCTCAGAAGAAGTGCAAATGGTCAATAAAAAGACCTTTCCTAACTTTCTGGTGTGAATGTAAACTAGTATGAACCAGTATGGAGATTTCTCAAAGAACTAAAACTAGAAATTCTCTTTGATGCAACTATTGCCCTTGTATGTATCTCCTTAAAAGAGCTAAAGACGTCAAATTACAGTGATACATGCATACCAATGTTTATGGCAGCACAGTTCATCACAGCTAAACCTTCTTTTTTTTTTAGGTACCAGCGATTGAACTCACGACCTTGGGCTTGCCAGGCAGATGCTTATGCCACTAAGCTAAATCCCCAGCCCTCATCACAGCTAAATCTTGAAGTAGCTTGTATGTCCAACAACAGGGAAATGGGCAAAGAAAACGTGGTATCCATACACAATGGAATACTATTGAGGTAGAAAAAGAATAAATTTGAGACATCTGTAGGAAAACGGAGACACTTGGAAAATATAGTGGTAACTGAAAAAAATCAGACACAAATTTAAATAATCTGTTATTTCTCATTTGTGCAAGACAAAGCACAAAATAAAGGTCAAAATAAAGGGCTGACAGAAGGAAACAGGGAGATACATGTGTTGCAAATGGAAAGGGGGCCAGGAAACTGGACAGGGTTGGGGGAGAGTGGAGAAGAAAGAGAAGTTAGGTCTAAAATGTGCCATAAACATGTGCCAAATACCCACAATGAATGGAATCATTATATGCTATAACTGTGAACTAAAAATAATGTGACAACATTAATAAGGAAAATGGGGAAAGAGGATCTAGATACAGAGGGAAGGAGGTAGGTGGGGAGGGGAAGGGATTAAAAAAGAATCAAAATGTGTGATGTTGCTGGGTGTGGTGGTGCACATCTGTAATCCCAGCACTCAGGAAGCTGAGGCAGGAGGCTTACTGAAAGTTCAAGACCAGCCCAGGCTACAAAGTGAACTCAAGGCCAGCCTGAACCACATATTCAAAAAAAAAAAAAAAAAAAGATGTGTGATGTAAATGTACCTACATCCCGAGATGAATTTAAACTTCATGTACTGTAAGCATGTACTAATAAAGTTAAAAAATAAAATTAAATTCCCCCACAAAATTTCAGTTAAGTCAATAAAAAAAAGCATTAAAAAAAAGCATTAAAAGAAAGCATAAAGCCATGCCCATTTGGTATTCAATGAAATCCAGATACAAGTCACTTAGAATTTAGAGCTTTACAAGGATATCAAGATAACCTAATCTAGCTGACTCTTTACAGAAAAAGAAGGCAAATTTAGGGATGATAATCTGACTTCTTCAAAGGATGCCCAGTGTAAGTCCATCTTGGAACCTAGTTCTTCTACTCCCATAGTTTTTCCCATTGCTGTACTGTTCTTGTAAAAACCTATCATTGTGAAATTTATATGGAATAAAATAATTTATATCTAGAAATAAATCATTTCAACTTACATGCGGCTGAAGCCTAAATATACTCATCAATTGCTGGGCTCCAGGTGGTAACTTTGGTCCATGGACTCCATCACTGTTTGGACCTTGTTGAGGACTCGCACTGATCCTAGAGCAGGAAATATTGGGGAAGAGCATGTGGAAACTGGTGTCACGTGTCCCACAACTTCGCTGATGAACACACACTGCTTTTCACCACAGGACAGCAACTATTATAAAACTAAAATTCCAGGCACTAATAATGGCATTAAAAACAATGACCATTTATATCACTTGTTGGTATTAAACAAGAGTGAGGTAGTCAAGAATCTAAAAATCAAATTCCAGTATATTTTTAAGTTTCCTTTACAATAGAAAAAAATTCTAATTTATCATAAGGCTCAGACCACCCATTTAAAGAAAAAAAAATCCCTTTCAAACTAAAGGATTACACATCATATAAAAGGGGGAATTATATAGTTTTACTTAATTTGAGGAATTAAATCATAACAATTTAGGTTGCTATAGTAGTATTTGAAAAATCAAGCAGTTCTGAAGTCTATGTAAAGTGTTTAGTGAAATACTAATAAAATTCAGTGTTTTGAAATTTAAAACTATAAGAGATGATCCAAGACAGCTTGCTGGTTCATGTGTAAAAACTGAGTTCAGAGAGGATTTTTTAATTTGTCAAAGAACACTCAATTAGTAAAAGCCTAGCCTGATATCTAGCTCATCTGGCTTGTATGTTATTAGTTTTCCTAATGTTTTATGTTCTCCATGTTTTTGAACCAAAAAGCATTTTGTGTTTGGTACATACAACACAATAGCAAGCGAAAGGGAACCAACTTTAGACAGACACGTGTGGGTTACAATTCTGCCACTTAACAACCTGTGTGATGGTGGACAGCTGCTGGATCTGAACGAATAATAACACTAGAATGAATGACAGTAATGAGTTCACTGAGTGGCTGGAAGGTTTCTTAGTGATTATCTTTAATGTTCACTAAAAATAAAAAAAATTTTAAATGTCATATTGCTTTTAATAGTTATATTTAAAAATGAGTATTTCTTGGCCCTGAATCAAGGGCGGCAGCTTCCTGACGCTGTTGGTTTCAAGCAGGAGCCTAAAGAGATGTCTTTCTATGATCTGTTGGCCATTTCAGAACTTGGGCAGTGAAATGGTCAATTCATTAGAAAGAAACAGCTTGAAGCAACCCCCACCCACCCACTGTGAGCAGCCATGAGCATGGCAGGCTGCTGTGGACCAGGTCCGGAGCCACCGGCATTTACTGGGACCCTCACCATGCTGGGACCTGGAGCACTGGGAAACCAAGCAACCCCTTTTTCCCAGGTGAGCAGCTGTGAGTGTGGCAGGCTTTGGCAGCCCACGACAGGAGCCACCAGGGTTTACTGGGACCTGCCCCATTCTGGGACCTAAAGCGGGGAAACCAAGCAACCCTACCTGCCTGCCTGTTTCGTCTTGTTGAACTTCAATATGGACAGTTATTTTGAAGAGAATGGGAGACTCTATGACAGCCATTAGTGACTTCCTATTGTCTGGTTTTGTCTTCCTCATTCTGTTCTGGTCAGTTTTATACTATGTTGCTTTGTATGAATTCTCTCTATGCAAAGAATGGACAACTATTTGGAAGAAAGCAAGAGACAATACGATAGACAGTGAAGATCTCAGGTCATCTAGCTTTGAAATTTATATCTCTTACATTGCTTTCTTATGTCCTCTTTTGTTTTGTTTTGTTGTGTTTAATTTTACCCCCTTTAAAATAAAAATAAAAAAATAAGTATTTCCAGGAAATATCTTGAGATTCTATTTTCCTATGAGGCATAGGGACCTGGACTCCTTACTCCTAGTGCATTGCCTGGAAGGGATCTCACAACCACTTCTTAGCTACATGTGAGAATGGGGTAGGGTAACATACATGTAGTTATGTAGCACAGCACATTTTAAAGCTCAATAGCTGTTATTTTCAACATGCAGAGGATATAAAAGTTCAGATGAGGCGTTACATTCAAGAAAAATTTGGGCAGAATCTCGGCAAGGCAATAGGAGAAACAACACAATTTTAATTTTAAAACAGGTTAAGAAGCTCTTAAGTTGTCAAGAGGCTGGTGTGGCAGTCACAGATTACTACACCATTTGGAATGGGGTTCCCAGAAGAAAATGCAGTGTTTCAGAATTTATTTATTAATCTATTTTTGTGACACAGTCTGAGCTCACTATGCCTCAACTTCCCGAGTCCTGGGATTACAGGTTTATGCCACCACACAGGTTCAGAAACTCATTTTTAAAACAGAGCCCTGGGAGCAAAGATGACAAGATATACTTATCAGAGCTTCATTCTAATAAAACTTCGACTAATAAGCTGTGACCTTTAGTGCTACCAATTCGCCTCCACTTAATTTCTGCATTTATAAAAGGCTCAGATTGTCTTTAAGAAACCTCACAGTCTAATCTTCTATGCCTATGGGTACATTTTTATCTTTTTTCCCAATGTCTGGCATCATTAAGGGAATCAATCACTATTCCCAAAGCTGGGGAAAATCAGAGCACTAACACACAAGAACACTTTCTCCTGCACAAGCCAGAAACCTGCTATCCAGAATGGTGCAGACGCGGCTGCCCCTATTGGTTCCACAGTACTCCTCTCCTAATATACTTCCATATTTCTTGCTGAACTCATAAGGCCAACGCAATCGATTTCTTCTTTTCCCTTAGGGTCACTCATCAAATAAAGGAAACAGGGGTTTCCACCTTGGGGGCTCTGGCTGCTCTTTAAGCTCACCAAATCCTAGCTGAGAAGAAAACTGATAAACATATTATACGGTGCGCTTTTCTGAGCAGCTCTCCAAGCCCACTTATTTCTTCTGACTCACTTGCACTTGCACTTGAGCTCCAGAAACGTCTCAAACATCCAGGCACTTAATAAAGAACCCACAAGGAGGTGTAGTTTCCTTGGATCATGTGCATTGTATTCAATCTTCTGATTGTCAGTTAATTAAATACATTCAATGGACACCCTCTGTGTGCACAAAAACGACAAAAGTGTGTCTGCCGAAGTTAGGCAGACGCGCTACTCTCGCGTGGGTTGGGTGTGTGCGTGTGTGTGGACAGCACATTTGCTCGTTTCTGGGAGGAAAATCCAGCTGTCGGGAGAGAGGCGAGCTGCAGGTCCCCTCTGGGCCCTGCGCTCAGCACCCGCGTCCCGCAGCCTCGCCCACTTCCCTCCCCGGTTCGGTCCGAACTTCAGGCCCTGGCTCCACCTCGCAGCCCCCGCTCCGTCCCGGGGTCCCAGGGTCCTGCGCCCCGACCCTGTGCCCTAGCAGCCCAGTCCCCAGTCACGGCTCCCCGGGAGCGTGGCTGTCACCGCGCTGAGCACCTCAGTTCCCTCCCGCCTGGCGCACCCAGGAGCAGGCGGCGCCAGAAGCTCCTCCCAGTCGAAATTCTGGGCGCTGAGCCCAACCCGGGTGAGAAGGAGGCTCTGGGTCAGCGCCCCGTTGGCAGCATCCCACGAAGAAGCTAGCGTCGGGCTGCGGGTGAACCCCGCGTCCCCAGTCTTGGTCTCCATTCCTGCGCCTCCAACCCTCACGAAGACCGGAACCTAGTTTGCAGGACTTGGGTTTCCGAGCAGACACAGAAGCAAGCAGAGATAGGCGCGCGCACACAATCTAAAGAGGCTTCAAACAAGTCCGGAAATTGAATGCAGATGTCTTGTGCTCTGGGTGAATGATTTGGGGATGACAATGCGCAATGCATATACCATTGTTTCCCCCGATTGGCGTGTTTTGAAATTTAGTTTTAGTTTTTTTTTCTTTTTCTAAAATGGATTTGGGAAAAAAAAAAAAAGTCCAGCACCGAAGAGCTCAGAGTGTAGGGCATGCGCACTGCCGGCGCCACCAAAACGCGCAGGCGCCGTGAGCTGCGCGCCTGCAAGGGGCAATTTGGGATCTCTGGTGTGCAGCAAGGGCTGGTGCTCGGAGGGCCCTTGTTGGGGTCTTGAATAGGGTGGGTCCAATAAAGAGAGTCTGTAGTCGGGTAGGTGTAGTGTACTTGTTCTGACATCTACAGGACCAACCCCAGACCTGGAGATCTCCGGAGTGGATCGCAGCACCCTCCCACCCCACACTCCCCGCGAATCGCGAGGCGCTTCTGGGGCTGAGGGGCAGCGAGAGCAGGGCACTAGTACTGGATGCGGGTTATTTTTTTATCCTCTGCATTCTGACAGTAGAGGGTGGGAGATAGGGGTTTGAAGAGGACTGCTGAGCAGTGTTGGGCCAAGGAAGCTTTGGCATTTGAATGCTATAGCTTAGCCCAAGTCAGGCCCAGACCTCATTCCTTCTGGTCGCAGAAGTCAGGTGCCTAGCTTTGGGCTCAGTGACAGAAGTCTGAAGGTCCTGGAGATCAGAGTGTTTAAGCACAGAAATTTGAGATTGAGAATGAATTTTACAGTTGCTGTGTGTAGTCAGAAGATGATTGCATCTTTTTACACCTGTTTTTGACCATCACATTTCAAAAACTGTAAAGTACCTTGGAAGAAAATTGGAAGGTCGGTGTTTTTCAAATTTGAGGTGTCACCCTTGTGGTATGGTACTCTTTACGAAACTGGAATTTCTTTTCCAGGATCGTTTAATTTTTTTTTTCTCATTACTTTGTATTCTGGGCTCATGATTTAGTGGAAGATAATTCAGTCTTTGTACTTACGTTTTCGCTTGTGTTCATAAGTTAGCGTATGTCCTTGATAATAATGGAATGTTGCTTCTGTTTGTGTGGGGATCACACCATGAAAATTGTCACTGCATTTTCTATAGGTAATTACTCATCCACAGTGTGTGAAACAGTACCACAGATGTGATATGTACAGAATACAAAAAGACATTTTTAATTGTAAAAACATTTGTTTTGATGATTGCAAAGATTGGTACTCCAGACTAATTGCAAAATTGGTACGGCAATATTTCCATTCTCCATGGATTCTTGTTATCAGATGTTAGTCTTTGATCCATGTTATCCTATGTGGACTGTCCAAATAAAAATAGTCTCAAAATTGCCAGTTTTCAGCTTCATGGACAAGATAAGTATTAATTTTTATGTACTTCCTTAAATGAAGTTGAAAAACTAGTCAGAAAATTAAAGACTGATATAGCCTTCTCTTTATTCTGTTTTCATAAGTTCAACAAATCATGTCTCATTTTAATTTTTACAGAAAACTTTCCTTGCCTGTCTCCATTTCTCACTTTTTGTTGTTGTTGTTTTTTGAGACAGAGTCTTGCTGTTTAGTTTAGCCCGGCCTGGAACTCAGCAATTCTTGCCTCAGCCTCCTGAATGCCGCGATGCATGTGCTACCCTGCCCAGCTGGTTTTGTTTTTTGAGATAAAATTTTACTATGTAGTTTTGGCTGACCTTGAACTCACTACTTAACCCAGACTCGCCTTGAACTCGGCAGTACTGTGCCTCCTGAGTGCTGGAATTTCAAGCATAGCCCACTATGTCTGGCTCATTTCTCACTGTTTTGAATCACCAATTTCATCTGAGTGGTTACTAGTTATTAATTTTTCAGCCTCATATCTTCCATTTTACCTTTTGTATGCTCTCTGATCTTTCTGGTGCCTGGTATTCCTAACTGAATTGTCACCACCTTTGTTCCTTAATAAGGCATACCATAGCTTTTTTACCTGCCTCCTGCCTTCCCCTTGGGTCCCTCCAGTTTTAATATGTTTTTCCATTTAGGTAGAATGGCCTTTCTTTTGGACAGCAGGAAAAAAAATCCCTCTTTTTTTGCCACAAGTTTGCTAATTTCTATGTGCTACCCTAACATGTTTTAGGTCTCTAATTCTCCTTTGGTCTAGGACTTTGTCAAATAATTCTCAATACTGTATTCACCTGACTTTATTTTCCCAACCATCTGAAATTGTTGTTGAAATTAGTAATTTCATGTTTTTCATGTGTTGAGAACAGGTTTGTTGAATGGAATTGATATGAATAATAATAGAAGTTATTTTGAACTCATTCATAATGTTGGGAGAAGTTTGAAAAGGAGAAAGTAGCAATTTCAGTCTTATTTTCAAGGACAGGATCGTTGTACTTGTGTCCAGGTAACCTCAGTTTTATTTAGTTTGTAGTCCTGGTGATGGAATCCAAGGCCTTGTGCATATTAGGCAAGTACTCTACTACTGAGCTATTTTCCTAACCCTATGTTATTTTAATGTACTAAATTACTCCTATTGTAACATAATAGATAGATGATAAGTATTATTACTAATAATGTGCCTTTGCACAGTAGTTCTTCAACATTTTGATTCCAGGACCCTTTGTATTTTTAATGCATTGAACATTTTAAATAGTTTTTATTTGTATGTGCTTATTTTCCTAATTTGTACACAACTCAACACTTGTAGTTTCAGTTCTGACAGTTTGGAATGCATTGAGCTGTCTTCATAGGAAGAAAGCTGAGCAAACTGAACATCAGTATCATTTAAAAAATTTATCAGATAATTGAGGTCCCAGGACAAATGGCAGTTCTGAAAGTGTAGAGGCAAGCCTAGAAAATCAAAATTGAGAGCAAGTTACCAGCAACTTCTTCCTCCTGAGGCACTGACGAGAAGGAACACTTAAAATGGTCATCAGTGAGGTTCCTGGAGGTCAAGTATAGATTCCCTTGAGAGAATCCTACAGAGTTTTTTTTTTCCTTCCAGAAACTACCAGAATCTCATAGAAATGATTGGAGAAAACAATTCCCTGTTGCTTTGTACCTGGGTAGAGGAAAAATAGCCATTTTGAAAATTGCCCAGTGAAAAAGTAATGTGTTTGGTATATCCAAAGCCCTTCCCTCAAGAGGAAAACTACTAGGACTCTAGTGGCAAACCTATGGCATGTGTGCTGCAGTGGGCGTGCAGAGCCTTCTCTCAGCACCGAGCCAAATAGTACCAGCAGCCACGCATCAGATAACAGCACAGAGGGTCCCTGCACATGCTCAGGAATGTGTATATAAATTATTTATATATAATAACCTGTTTGGGGCTGGGGATTTAGCTCAGTGGCATAGTGCCTGCTTGGCAAGTGTGAGGTTATACGGTCAATTCCTGGCACCAAAATAAATAAATAAATCATTTGTTTGGACTGGCTGTGAATTTTAATACATTTGTTTTTATTAACACAGTATGTTAGCTTTGGGCCAAGTGTGGTGGTCTGTGTCTGTAATCCCAGCACTCAGGAGGCTGAGGCAGGAAGATTGCTGTCAGTTTGAAGTCAGCCTAGCTACATGAGCAAATTCAAGGCCAGTGCATGTAATGAGATCCAATCTAAAAAAAATTTTTTTAGCTTTGAGTTTTCTTATGAAAAGTTGAAATTTAATATCTAAGATTTAACAAAGAGATGTTCTAATTAAGAGACTGAGATTCTTTTAATGTTATGCTGTCCCCCTGGCATATTTGAAACTGCAGTATGCTATTTAGTTTGTTAAGAATTGTTTGTTAAAAATTTATGAAAACAAGAGCAAGGATATATATATATATATATATATACATATACTTGCTTGGACTGACTGTGATTTTAGCAGAAGCTCCCACAAGGTAGGAAATGCACTCAGATGCCTTTATCAGAGCTGGCTAAAAGCTGTGATCAGTGAGACATTGCCCTCTTGTGCTGGTGGTCAGTAAATTCAAGAGGAACTCCAAGCTGAGAATTATTGCCATAGATCATTGATTGAGGGAATATCCAATTCTTTGGTGTTAACTAATAGTGATAGCTGTTTTTGTTATAGGGATAGATTGGGTGCTTCATTTTTTAAAAAATTTTATGTTTTTTTTTAGACTCCAAGTCTTGAACATGAAGAAATGACTACATCAAAAAAAGCAAAACTGAAAACAGAGAGTGGAAGATCATTCCAACAGGCCTGGACAGAGTTTTTTGGAGCGATTGAACGCAATGGGAAAGTGTTCTGTGTTCTGTGTGGTGAAAGTATTGTGTGTCGCACATCAAGTGTTAGACGGCACTTTGACACCAACCACAAAAGTGTTGCTCAACTTGGGGAAACTGAAAGGAAAGAGTTTCTAGAAGGAAAATTGAGGAAATGTCATTCCCAATATCTTATTTATTGCAACTATCTTTCTAAAACAAATCATCTGACTGCTGCCAGCTTTCAAATTTTACTGTGCATAGCAAAATACGGTAAGCCCCTCTCTGATGGAGATTTTATTAAAATGGCCATGTTGTCTGGGAGTGAGTCCCTTTTTCATGATTTCCTAAACAAGGATAAAATTATGCAACACATCTCTGAGATGCCACTTAGCAGAAATAAAAGATCGAGTCCTGCACATGGCAAATGATGTTAGTCAGCAGCTCACCACTGATTTACAAAAGGCAGCCTGTTACTCCATGTGCTTGTATGAAAGCACAGATATAAATAATCATGCAAAACTAGCAGTAATTTTGCGTTATGCAGTTGGTGACATTGTGAGAGAAGAGCTGGTGAAGCTGGTCTCTTTGCCTGGAAGAACAGAAGGGGTAGATATCTACAGTGTGTAATGGAGGCTTTTTTGTCACAAGACATAAGACCAGAAAACGTGGTTTCAATTACTAGTGACGGGGCACCTCACATGGTTGGGGAAACATCTGGTTTCATACAGTTTTTTATTAAAGAAGCAAAACATCCAATCATTCAGTTTCATTGTATTATACATCAAGAAGCTCTTTGTACCAGGGAAAGCCGCAAAAAATTAGATGATATCCTCAAAGATGGTGAATTATATCATGGCTCATGCTCGTAATTTTCGACAGTTCCAAGCACTGCTTGATGAGGTTCAGGCACAGTACAGTGCTTTACTCATGTCCAGTCATGTCTGGTGGCTGAGCAGAGGACAAGTCCTGGAGAGATTTGTAGCCTGTTTGGATAAAATCAGGCTGTTTATGAGGGAAAAAGGGCATGACCACACACAGCTCACTGATGTGACCTAGCTTACTAACCTCATGTTTTTTTTTACAGATTTTATACTACATTTCAATGTACTGAACAAAAAAACTACAAAGTGTAGGGAAAACAGCTGAAAGAATGTTTTATGATATTAAAACATTTGAGAAAAAACTGCAGGTTTTTGAGAGAGACCTTGAAAGTGGGCAGCTGAAATATTTTCTAAATCTAAAAATACATTTAGAAAATTCTACAACTTTTACAGACAATCCTACAGGCCAACAGGAAATCTATAAGGAATTTTCTAGCATTGTGGCAACTGCAAAGGCAAATTTTAGTAACAGATTTTTACAGTTCCATAGGGTGGAGGCAACCCTGTGTTTTCTTACTTCTCCAGATAAAGTCAAATTTGAAGAACTTGACCTTTCCTGCTTATACTGGTTAGATTTTGGAAATCTGGAAATGGAGCTATTGGAATTTCAGGAAAGCTCTATCTGGAAAAATAAATTCTATGACCTGCATGCAACACTTGAGAAGATAGAGATGGTAGAGTGTGAAGGGGTGGCAAAGGACGGAACAGTTGGTAGTTCTGAAAATGAAATCCTTAAAGTGTGGAATTCTCTGCCAAATAATTTTAAGTCCATGAAAGCAGTTGGGATTGCTTTTCTTACTTTGTTTGGATCATCTTATACTTGTGAGCAGCTGTTTTCAGCTTTGAATTGTATCAAATCTGACACAAGAAAACAGACAGATGATGTGAGTGCTGCATGTGTTGCTCTCAAACTAACGAAGTATGAGCCAAGGTTTGACAGATTATCAGCATGCATACAGCAGCAAAGATCACATTAATTGTGAAGCAGCTTGCCAAATCCAAGCTTTTGCCTTCCAATAAACAGCTGTATCTTGAAAAGGTGTAATTGTGTTTTTCTTTTAAGCAAAACATGTTAATGTAAGAGTTTTCTAAAGTAAAATCTTGGGTATTCTGGTTTAATTGCAGCATTGGCATTTCTCAATAAATAAATGGGTTTTGTGTTTTGGGTTGCAGTTTGGGCACTGGGTCTCTAAAAGATTTGCCTTCTGTGTGCTAGTCTTATCTGATCTGAGGGAAGGGCAGTTAGATACTTTAAGGACCCTCTAGCTTTTCTCTATCTTTTAGAGGGAGTCAAAAAAAAAGGTTGCAGAATGCCTTTGAAGGTGATAGCCCAGGGACTCATGCTTATTGAACAAACTGAGATTCATTCAGTCATACAATGATAGCATATAAACAGGACTCTAGTGGCAAATAACAGAGAATTGTAAAAACAGACCTCAGTTTAATCGAAGTTTCTAGGGAAACCCAAAGACAGTACAGCAGATGAAAGCCAGAATAAAAGAAGGATTTGAAGCCTCTGACATCGATAGCTAAACAAACATCAAACACAACCTAACTTCTTGTGAGGCTGACTACCTCAGTTCATATATGTTAATTTAAGTACATCAGACCCAACTTTCAACAAAAATTTCTAAAACATGGTAAAGAGAAATGATAAAGACCATTGGAATCATTTTTAGAATGACAAAGATTTTTGAATACTTGATAAGGAATATAAAACAGTATATTAAGGGATCTAATGTAGAAATAGTATGCAAGAACATATGGGCAAAGGGGGAGGGGAAGTAAAAAGAAAGTGTGTTGTGTGCACATACATACTCCCCATGATGAATGGAATCAGCTATGTACTGCGAATGCAATAAAAATAAAACCAGAATATATGGGCAATGGAATTAAACACCAAGGCAGGTTAAAAAGGAAATGGTACATATTGAAAGCATTGCATCAGAAATGAAGGTCTTTTATAGATTTATCAGATGACCAGACTGACAGACTGCTGCCTCTCAATCAGTGAACTTCATTTTTCAATAAAAAGTGCCCTAAGAGAGGGCAGGGTGATGGGTTAAATGTAGACAGCACTCACCTGCTTCTTCTTGGTACAGAGTGAAGACATCTGAGAGCAGCCACTCTTTGCAATAGGTGATAGCAGGAAAACACTAGTTCAATTACGAACCCAGAAATTTGGAAAAACAGACTTGGATAGGAATTCAGAATAGGGCAGAGTGCTCCTGTGCCTGTTGAGTGGCAGTGCAGCAGAGGGAAGGGGTAGATGTAAAAGCAGTAAGTACCCAGAGAGCGTAGCTAGCTCAAGATTCAGCATCATGCAGAAGTGCAGTCAGGATGGGTAGATCTGGGACCTACATAACATACAGGCCCTGGGAAAGCTTTCTCCACTTTATATATATATATATGTGCAATGCAGTAACAGCTATTTTGAGAAGCACTTGTCTGAGCTTGCTGCTCTGGGAGTGAAATTCCCTGCATTTTCCTGTCTTCAGGAACCCACAACAAATACTGATATATTGAAAAACGACCTCTGCCTTGACAACCAGTTTGGCTTTAGGGGAGAGCATTTGAAACAAAAGAGTTGAGAATTTATCCAATGGTAAACAGGTCTCTGACATGTAAGAGCAAAAAGATGGCTTTCCCTGTAGGACCAGCAACTTAGGGTGCCACATGTGGGAGTCAGTGAAACAGGTGGTGCGCATGATTACCTGCGGGGCTAAGCCTCACAACACCAATACGTGGAGGATGTGCAGGGCTCACTTCTGTCTCTCATACTATTTCTCCTACCACGAGGCAAGCATCACTGTAGGTGATGCAGAGTGTAATGCACTGCAGTGACCAGCATCAGACCTGCTCTAGGCATGTGCAGAGAAAGTAACACTGAATTAATTTTTGATAGGGCAATCTTTGTGTTCCATCCTAACTCATACTGATGAGTGTGGCAGCTGAAAGGTATTACAATCGTCTCTGGTTCCAAACCATTCACTAAGCCCCCTGACATGCAACATGAAGACAAGGCTAAATATACCACAATGCTTGTTCTCTCTAAGGGGTACATAGCCTCATAGGTCACAGAAAGAACATCTGGGCAGCATAGGTACAAATACCTTGCCTGCTCAACCAATCTCGCTGGTAGAGAGGAAATATGAACTTACCGAAGACACTGATAGTGTTTGGCTAGTGGAGCCAAACCAAGTGAGTAGTTTAGGAAAGGATTAGAGTCCGTGAAAGTGAACCAAACAAAAACCTAGGAGATAAAAATTTCTACTGAAAGTATGGGCAACAGAAGCAAACAGTGTGAGGAGAGAGTGTAAAAACTAGAAGATAGGGCCAATGTAGTTGACCTTACACTCAAGAGATATCTTAAAAACAACAGAAGATCATGGAAAAAGGATCCAACAGTGGCTAAATGATAAAATGAATACAAATTTAAAAATGAATTGGGATTAGAAAGTGAACAGTGTTAAGAGATTTCACTTTACTAGTGTGTCACACTGTTAATAGTCTCAGTTCCCCAATCAGAAGACAGATCAGTTGTGTTAAAACACCAAAAAAAAAAAAAAAAAAGAATTCAATAGTATGCTATATACAAAAATGAAAAACAATATTTCACCCAGTGGGAGTATGACAAGGAGCAGGAGTTGAAAATTTACATGAAAATTGAAATGTTACAGCATGATATTACTGGTGTTTATCTGAATTTTTATGTCTAACTATTTACTAGGAACTAGCACCACATCTGAATGAAAAAGATATAAAAACCATGAATTTATCTATTACTTCTGAAATTTGATTTCAAGGTGGTTACCCCCAGATCTGGATTTCAGCAGAATTTATTGTGGATAAATAGATAAGTTCATATGTCTAACTATTTACTATGAAATAGCACCACATCTGAATGAAAAAGATATAAAAACCATGAATAATTCATTATTAGTCAATAAAATTGAAGAAGTAATTGAAAAACTTCGAAAAGCCCTGGTCCCAACAGAGTTACTGCCATATTCTATAAGATCTCTAAAGAAGATCTAACACCAACAATCTTCAATTTCTTTAATGAAATCAAAAGGGAAGCAGTACTTCCAAAGTTATTTCTAGGAATCAACCATTACTCTGAGCAAAACCAGAAAAGGAGCTAACAAAAAAAGAGAACTATAGGTCAATCTCTTTAATGAACATAGATGCAAAAATCCTTGATCAAATACTGGCCAACCAAATGCAGCAAATCAAAAATATCAGACACCCAAAACAAGTAGCTTTATCTCAAGGATGCAGGGATGACTCAACATATAGAAATCAATAAATATACCACATAAATAGAGGGCAGGTAAAAAATTACATAATCATCTCAATAGATATAAAGAATCCTTTGATAAAATCCAACCTCCATTTATGATAAAACCCTGAAAAATAAGCATAAAAGGTTTTTATTTCAATCTGACAAAAAGCACCTATAACAAATTAACAGTCAAAATCATATTTTTTTGTTTGCTCTTTTTTTTTCTTTTTAACTTTTTATCGGTATTAGGGATCAAACGACCGCCTGCTTGCAAGGCAGGTGCTTATGCCGCTGAGCTAAATCCCCAGCCCCTGAGTCAAAATCATATTAAGTGGAAAGAAGATGAAAGCTTTTTCTTTAAAACCAGGAATAAGACAAAAGGTGTCGCTATCACCACTGCTGTTTGATATAGTTCTCCAAATATTAGCCAGAGCAATCAGGCAAAAGAAAGAAATAAAAGGGGTATTTATAGGAAAAGAAGAATTTAAATTATTATATTCAGATGATGATTATCTCTATAGAAGACCCCAAAAAGGCTACCATAAGACTCCTAGAATTAACAACCAAATTTAGTAGCACAGCAGGATACAATCAACACTTGAACATCAGTGGTGTTCTGTACACCAATAATAAACTTACTAAGATAGCAGTTATGGAAATAGTACCTTTCACAATTGAATCAAGTAAAATTAAATACTTAGGAATCAACTTGCCCAAATGAAAGGCCTCTACAGTGAAAACCATAGTATTCTGAAAAAAGGAGGGTAAAGACAGAAAATGCAGAAAGTGGGAAGTAAGGTTAGGGATACAGCTCAGTGACACAGCGCCTGCCTAACAAGCATGAGGTCCTGAGTTTCACTGCTATTCCAGAAAAAAAAAAACAAAGGAAAGATATCTCTTGTTCCTGGATAGGCAGAAATAACATAGTCAAAATATCTATATTTCTAAAACTGTTATACAGATTCAACATGATCCTAATCAAAACACCAAGAGCATTCTTCATGAAACCAGGGAAAACAATTGTAAAATTCACGTGGAACCAGAGGATACTTAGAATAGCAAAAATAATTCTGGGCAACAAGGGAAAGACAGGAGATATTACAGTTCAAGATAGACTACAAAGCTACAGTGATAAAAAACTGCAGGTATTGTAAAAAATGAAACAAAACAAAACAAAACAAAAATCCACACCAGATTTGAGGATCTATGAAACAGGATAGAGAATGCAGAAACAATTCCAGGCATACTTGGCTACCTTATCTTTGATGAACTGTCCAAATATTTTCATTGAGGAAAGATAGCTTCTTTAAAAAATGGTGCTGGGCAAACTGGCTCTCTATATGCTGAAGATTGAATCTAGACTCATGCTTCTCACCATTCAATAAACTAAAATAAAAAATGATCAAAGATCTGAATGTTAAAAAAGAAACAATTTTCTGTATGACAAAGTAGGGAAAAGTCTTGAAGATATAGGCATAAGCAAAGACTTTTCAGACAGACCCTAGTTGCACAAGTAATAATACCAAGAATCAACAAACAGGATTGCATGAAGTTAAAAAACTCACAGTCTAATCCTAGTGCTCACAAGGCTGAGACAAGAGGATTGCCACAAGTTCAAGGTCAGCCTGGACTACATAGTGAGACCCTGTTTTAAAAAACCAAAGCAATCAAAAAACCAAAACCAAAACAAAACCTAAGAAACCTCTGCACAGCAAAGGAAACCACCAACAGGAGGCAACCCACAGGATGGGAA